TAGCGGTAGGAATGACCGCGCGATGTGCTCTTGTCACGCCATCATTGAGAAAAATGGCCGCTTTATCTAATGTGATCGAATCAGTGTTATTACTTGAGGGTACTAACATCGAACTTATATAAATCCATAACAATATTTACTTATAAATAAATAACAATTGTTTCTAATGTTAATCTCGAAGCAGTTAAAAATTATAAGGCGATAGTAAAGAAATCGAAATATTGGTAGCCTATTAACTTCACTTGTAGGTAATAAAAATCATCATCACCAGCTCACTATACGTCCCCACCGAGGGGCTCGGAGCCTACCCTAAGTTAGAGTGACTAGGCCATAGTCAACCACGCTGGCCCAGTGCGGGTTGGTTGACTTCACACATATCTTTGAATTTCTTCGCCGATATGTGCAGGTTGCATCACGATGTTTTCCTTCACCGTAAGAACGTCGGGTAAATTATGTACATATGAAAATTCGAAAAATCGAAAATCACATTGGTACATGGCGGGATTCGAACCCAAGACCTGTAGATTACAAGTCAAGTGCTTAAACCACTGAGCCACAAATGTAAATTTTAACATGCTTCATTTAATTGACAAAGAAAAAAGAAATAATATTCTTTAAATTTTCAATTGAAGGACTGCAAGTGTGGTCTAGAAATGAACTGATACCTAAATATGATAATTATGAAAAAATAAAAAATATCACTTAATGTCAAGATTGATGTTCAATTTTAAATAGAGATAAAACCAATGGTTCATGAAAGTGTAATGTCTTGAATAAAAAAAAAAAACAATAGTTATGACTTGTCATTTATTAAGAATATTTTCAGTTTTTAGTACGGCCATCTGTCGCCAGTTCGGAGTCCGTAAAGACCAGATCTGTAACAAATAGTTGCATAATAAGTATTAGGGCTTTCATTTCTTATCTTATAAAGCGAGTAAAAGACTATCTGACGTATAGTAAATTACAAATTACATAGATCGGCAAATAAATGGGTAACTTACCCAGATTTGCTTAAGACTCCATTGCCCATGCGCAGATTTGAACCAGAGCACTGTACATTTCTAGCCTCGTTTAAGTTATTGCATCGTCTTCCAACCAAGTGATCAGTTCGTACAGTGGAAGCATAGAGATCGTATGCACGGCTGTGGGAGCAAGTGCTGACCCAGCATCCTGGTTGGGCGTTCCGACCACCGTTGGGATAGAAGTCAGTGTGACCAATCGGGTCGAAGATGCCCAAGAGTCCACCGTCGGTGTGAATGCATTCAACGTATCCACCAGCGTTGCGGTTCAGAGCGTTGGAGTTACCACCCCACCTGGGACCAGCGGGATCGAGACCTGATATCAGAAAATATCATTGTATATATGTGAAAAAACAAATTTTGTACAGAACCGATTTATTCCAGTTCGATAGCCTTATCTCTATCTGATTTGTAACGAAATGTCAAATGATATTAATTATTGAAAAACATATAGACAATATATTTCATTCTCATTAGATAATATACCGACCGGTGACACGTCTTGGCCTTCCTCCTGCGGTGCGTCCGGCGTTGCCCACGACATGAGCGCCCAAACTGAAGCCGATCAAATGGACGTTATTCCAGTTACCGCCCGCAGTGTTGATAAGCCAGACCAAGAAGTTGCCAAGGAACTGTCCGACGCCGGGTACTCCGTTTGCAGCGGTCACGTAGTTTCTATTGGCTAGATCGCGCCAGTCCACAACAATCACGTTGCAGTCTTGAACAGCTAAGAAAGCTGAGGTGACAGCAGTGTTGACTTTGGAATTTCCGTCGCCGTTCCATCCGTGGACGATGACCTTCAGAGGACGGTTACGATCGTAGTTAGAGTTAGTGACTGAGCCAGCATTACCGTTGCGAAGGATTTGGGCATTGTTGGGATTGCGTCTAAAATAAAAAATAATTATTTTTCACTATGTATCAATGATCATGTAGTTATCCTTGCCAGAGCATAGAGATTAAAAATATCTGTGTTACGAGTTTATAATTAATTGTGGTATGAAGAATCTTAAGATATAAAAAATTTAATAAAAAAAACCTTGTGAACAGCCAGTATTGGTTATTTGCGCCATTTCTGCCATATAAGACATCTTCATCGATAGGCTCTTCAAGGTCTACCAGATGGGGTACGTCTTCTCCATCTGGCATCCAGACGTACCGACTGACACCCTCTACATAGTGGCTGTTGTCCCCTGGGATCATGGATGGTGGTGCACTACTGCATACTACAAATTTCAGGATAACCTTTAGTGAATCGTAATTCTTACACAATGAAATATTTTTCAACGTCATTAATCCGAAGCTTTTTTTATGTTTTTTTTTTTATTACAAATACTTGAGTAGAACATGGAATTTGTTTTGTGTTTCCAATTCATAAAACAATTTACTAAAACGCATAATTACATCCTCATTCGCAGATACCTTGGCTACCTTATCTAGAAAGATGATTTTCCCCTACCTACACCTTCCATCCCCCGCCAAATCCACCCTCCCTTTCCCATCCTCTCTTTGTACGAAAGTGGAAGGGAAAGCGTACTAAAACACGTACACTTATCGTTACAAACGCGGATTTACTTCCGCTTGACGCCTGTCTTGTGTTGAAGATGTTAATGTGCTCTACCACTGTTCCGCTTCCAACAAGCAAAAACTTTAGTCGTTATAGCCATTTGGCCTAGAAACCTATACCGTCTCTTCTATACGCGGAATGAAAAATAAATTAATAATGAACTTGCTTAATTCTTACCTGCAATAAGGATGGAAATAGTCACTAGTAGCTTCATTGTTTCTGTTTTGACTGTTACAGTCGCACATCTTAGGTATTTATGTCACTTCATTATCATTGGAATTCCTTATTATCATGTTCCTGCGTACTTTTTATCTTATTTGATTAATAATAATTGATTTATATAAGAATTTTCCGACGTCAATTTACGCCTACTTGTAGCTTCATTGATCATACATACATAACGTATAAGTGAAGACTTCGTGGCGAAATGTTTTCTGTTTTAAAAATCTGAATATTGAAAGCTGATAATTAAAAAACACTCTAAAAGTCGGCCGCGGAGTTGCGAAAATGACTGTCATTACGTCCACTGTTCTTTTACTAGCTCTATGTTTGTTGTATATTAGATTTCATATGTATTTGTATGGTGCACGAGCAGTCGCCCGCAAACTTCATTAGCGTGGAATTTAAAAACAACCTTCCAGCTACCTACAGTCAAATTCGCATCCAAATCAGTTCACCCGTTCGCGATAGCGGTCCGGTCGCCATTTTGACAGCGCAGATTAAAAAAAGTAGCCTTTAATATGCCCGTCTATGTCAGCTGACCTTCAGTGAAAGTCCGTTCGAAATCGTCCGCCCAGCCGTTTCGGAGATTACCCGGAACAAAAAAGCGGACAGATAGACAGACAGACAGGTAGACGGCCAGACAGACAAAAAATTGTTGAATGCGATTTTCGTTATCAGCAATGCAAATACATCATCTTTCTGATATTTGTATTTTTTTGATATTACAAACAGACACTGCAATTTGTGTGTGTATAGAAGTCTATTCTATTCTATTCTACTAACGGAAGATGTATTACATTGTCTGTTTTTATTACCAAAAATAAAATGTCGGAATTAATATGCTGTTTTGATTATATCGGTGAAGTGATTTCAGTCCTTCAGGTGATCTTTTAAAATTCTGGCACGATACTAAGTCTGTATTCCCTTCTTCATTGAATTACTAAATCCAATCTTCTATGATTTGAACTTAGAGTTAATTCCGAAAGGATGATAATTCGGTCATGATGACGGAAAGGATTTGTACTTATAAAAATAAAGAATATTTTATATTGTACTGTCATTTATTATCATAGAAAGGTCATCAGTTTAGTACGGCCATCTGTCGCCAGTTCGTAGACCGTAGAGGCCAGATCTGTAACAAAATAAAATTCAACAATATAGATATTTGTCTTGATTGAATTAGCTATGGCAGAGATCAGTTTCATATTTTTGGCTGGATAATTTCGTTGTTTATTAAATTTCATGAATAACAAACGGAAACAACAGGTAAAAGGTAATTAGATAATCTACGCCTTAGAAGCTTTAAAGAAAGAAATCTACAAAGAAGCAGATCGACTACGAATAAAGTAATAAATAATGGTATTTACAACTCACATTACAGAATGGTGAAATTTCTAAGTTAAGACAAAATGTGCATTTAAAAATCATGCAATGAAAAGAATAACAAACTCATTGTTACTTGCGGTAAAATTAGATTATTTTTATGAAATAAAAGAAATAAACAAATGTATAAAGTTAAGAGGATATTGATCTTAAGGTGATAATTTTATTTATTCATCAATCTAACTTGCTCCATCTCCTAGAGTGCCTTACTAACTCATCAACTTGCCCTTGTCCCTACGAACGGTTGGCACAGTATGTACTGCACTTTCATACATCCCTATAGAAGTCATAATCAAATTAATTAATGTCTACCTTCTAATATGCTTTAAACTTACCCAGATTTATTCAAATTTGCATTGCCCATGTTATGAATGGCACCAGAACATTGCACATTCCTAGCTTCATTCAAATTGTTGCACCGTCTTCCAATCAAATGATTAGTTCGTACAGTGGAAGCGAAGAGATCGTATGCACGGCTGTGGGAGCAAGTGCTGACCCAGCATCCTGGTTGAGCGTTCCGACCACCGTTGGGATAAAAGTCAGCGTGACCAATCGGGTCAAAGATGCCCAAGAGTCCACCATCGGTGTGAATGCATTCAACGTATCCTCCAGCGTTGCGGTTCAGGGCATCTGAATTGCCGCCCCACCTGGGACCAGCAGGATCGAGACCTGAAAACGTAACGATATTTTATTTAATAATTCAACATGACTTGCTTCACATGTTGTGTTTTTTAAACAGGACACTTTTGGAAGTTATCTTAAAATAAATACAATTAAACGTTTAGAAAATTCAAAGTTACACGGGAACGTTATTTCAAAGAAGGAAAAATGTATTAAACAGCACACGTAATAATTGTAGCAGTAAGTTGAAAATAAAATTAATTTACCGACCTGTAACACGTCTGGGCCTGCGTCCAGCGGTGCGTCCAGCGTTGCCTACGACGTGAGCGCCCAAACTGAAGCCGACCAAGTGGACATTGTTCCAGTTTCCACCCGCAGTGTTGATGAGCCAAATCAAGAAGTTGCCAAGGAACTGGCCAACGCCGGGTACTCCATTAGCAGCAGTGACGTAGTTCCGATTGGCTAAATCACGCCAGTCCACGACAATCACGTTGCAGTCTTGAACAGCTAAGAAAGCTGATGTGATAACAGGGTTAATGTTGGAATTGCCGTCGCTGTTCCAACCGTGGACAATGACCTTTAGAGGTAGGTTGCGATTATAGTTGGAGCCAGTAACTGATCCAGCGTTACCGTTGCGAAGAATTTGAGCATTTCTGGGATTGCGTCTGAAATAAAAAAAAACAAATATGATTTTTAAGACAAAAACTGAGGAATGATATTCATAAGTACCCGAGGGCTATTGAAAAATGAACAATGTTATAGCTATATCATAAGAAAATTACCTCGTGAACAGCCAATATTGATTGTTTGCGCCATTTCTGCCATTTAAGACATCTTCATCGATTGGTTCCTCCAGATCTACCAAGTGAGGTACACCCTCTCCATCGGGTATCCAGACATAACGACTTTCACCCTCCACATAGTGACTATTGTCACCCGGTATTATAGATGGTGGTGCACTACTGCACACTGTAAATGAAGTAAAATCTTAAGTCTTTTGCTATTATTTAGATTTTTATCGCCCCCAAGGATGGTATTTGATTTTTTTTCATTTTCAGTTTTGTTTCACAAATGAAATTGTCAAGAGAAGGGATTTGTAAGTCGACATAATTACTTGAAACCTTTTAAACAGGTGACAGACAGGTCAGCTGGTCGTATTAGTTTAGCTAAAACACTAAGGTTTATAAAACCACGTGCGCCCCCCTCAGGAGGGGTCAAGTCAAGACCAGGAAGAGGATGATGACATATTAATTTTTTTGTAAATCGTTGGTCAAAAGGTTATAATTGGATGTAGTTTTAACAGGTTTCACATTAAATGAACCGAAAATTAATTTGCACAAATGTGAGATCAACTTGAGTAAGATATAGAAACTCATATTGTGTCTAGAATGAGATGAATTGAGATGACGTATGATAGAGTTATGTGGAGGACAAAAACCTGTTGCGCCGACCCTACGGGGTAAGGAGATGATGATGATGATGATGATGATATTGTGTCTAGCGGGCACTTTAGTTAATCATGACATGCATCTATTCTCTTTAAACAGAAATGAAGAAGTAATTACAGATTCTTAAAGTGACTCAGCTTGTTTATAGATCTTAGATATAGAAATTGGTGTTCGTAACGTCCGTCTGTCGTTCGTCAAATGAAAGGAGTAATATCTTAACATGGGTCTTTATGACGGATAGGTCGATGATTTACTTATAGTAACTTACCTGCAATTAGGGCGCAAACAATTACTAGAAGCTTCATTCTTACTGTTTTGACAGTCACACTCGCAGATTTCCAGTATTTATTTGATTCCATTATCATGAAAAATCCTTATTATCGGGATTGTGCGTAGTTTTATCTTATGTGATTATAAATAATTGATTTGAATAAGAAAAACAGACCGACGTCAGTCAACGCCTCCTTTTAGATCTAATGATAGTAATGTAAACAGTGTAAGCGATTACATCGCGGCGGAAAGATTGCTGTTTAATTAATAAATATAAACAGTTACTTGTTTAGTATCCTTATTGTTTTTATTGTTAAAAGAACGGTTGTTTGGTTGGCCCGTTTTTTTATGTTTTCATCCTTAGAAACACGTGTCGACTTATTTACGGCGTTATCACCCTTACTTTATAGGTACAATAGCGAATCTTTTTAAGTAAAAATATTTAAGGATCTATTTCTGCAGGATTAGTACAGTCAATTTTTTTGTTCAAAAGTGTATTTTTCATAAATTATAAAATGTGTTTGTATAGCAGTCAGATTGGGAGAGTATCTCCTCTATATCTAGTAGTAGTATAGAGAAGAAAACAAAATTGTGCACCCTTCGAAAAGTCTGTGGAAGGCACTTTTTTAAAAGCTGGAAAGGCATCTGATATTTCTCTTGAGTTAAGGATATCCGTAAACGTCGTTAATTATTCAAAACTAAGGGTTCCGATCTGATATTTGCCAAGAATTAGCGATGTATTTTAGCAAGTCTCTTAATGTTATTATAAATCGATTATAAAATTAAATGTAATTGTGATATGTAACAGCAACTGTATTTAATTTTTGAAACCCACACATATTTCATAACAAAAATATAGCGTAAATTTAAAACTTTCTTTGCCATTTGAAATTCTTTCAAGATCCTGATACTATATTGCGCGCTTACGAAGTGAAGTGTTTAAAATTTCTTTCAGTAGTTGGCTGTAAATCTCCTAAACTGCTGAAATTGACGTGAAAGACGGATGAAAAATCGGTAGACAATGAGATAGACAAACATCTACACAAGCAAGGAATACGAGACATCACTCTTATTGATTGTATGTTAATAACACACTTTAATACGTTTTTAAAGTAGGTAGATGAGATGAGCTTAAGATTGCGTGTACACTTTGGATTAAACAATCGTACGACTAAACAGTCGCGTTATGTTTCCTATGAGCTTATATGGAGGTACACACACTGTTTAACTTTTAGTTGTTCAACAGTTGATTTGGCTACGAAACAATCGACAATCGCATATGAGTTGTGCGATAGTTTAGTCAAAGGTGCATTCTTTCTATGTGTTATTTTTGTCGTAACGTATAATAACTTTGTGAAATGAAAAGATTTATATTTTTTTGTAATGAATTAACTCAAAAAATACTGGACGAAAACAAAAATTATTTTACTATTAGAATGCTAAATTGTCACTGAATAACGCGGACGAAGTCGCAAGCAAAAGCTAGTATATCTTATCATGATGCCAGCCCTTGCGATATTTCTATTTCGTGATAGCTGGTCAAATCTTTACGAACGTTAAAGGTGTTTACAAGTCGATCATCAATCAGATAAAATACCAAACAATGACATTATCGTTCTAATCATAAAGGGTATTTTGTATATTTTAATGCTCAAAAAAGTATTGATTTCGTAAGAAAAGCAAAGATTTCATGAGAATTTCTTTATTATTAAGCCAATGTTTTCAGTTTTTAGTACGGCCATCTGTCGCCAGTTTGGAGACCGTAGAGCCCAGATCTGTAATAAAAAATATTTATTTATTGTTTAATGTCAAACGTGAACTCGCGATCCGTGCGAGTACGTTATGTTTTTTCGTCGAAAATGTTAAGCTACAAGTCGATTATAAGACTTCAAAATTTAAGTACTGCATATTACTTCTTACGTAATCATAAATCCCACGCGGATGGAGTCGCGGGCGAAAGCTAGTAATTAATGATATTAAAAACCTATGTTATTAGAAAAGAAAATGACCATCTTGAAAAAAATGTGTTTTTGGCAATCAAAAAGAGCAACAAACTCATTAACATTGAAAAAACCTTGTACTTTTGGTCAACAAGATTTTTAAGTAAAAGAAAAATAAAGAAATATATTACAATCAAGTAATATTGTAAAAGGAATAATTACTATAGAATAATAAATTTTAATTATTCTTTGATTGTCAAATACCGACTTTCTCTGGTTCTTAAAATTGAAACAATCTGATTTTAAACTTACCCAGATTTACTTAATATTCCGTTGCCCATATTAAGAGTAGCACCAGCACATTGTACATTTCTAGCTTCATTCAAATTATTGCACCGTCTTCCAACCAAGTGATTAGTTCGTACAGTGGAAGCGTAGAGATCGTACGCACGACTGTGCGAGCAAGTGCTAACCCAGCATCCTGGTTGAGCGTTCCGACCACCGTTTGGATAGAAGTCAGTGTGACCAATCGGGTCGAAAATGCCCAAGAGTCCACCGTCGGTGTGAATACATTCTACGTAGCCACCAGCATTGGCGTTCAGGGCGTTAGAGTTACCACCCCAAGTGGGACCAGCGGGATCGAGACCTGACACAGAAATATTAAATATGAGCGGGAGTAAGAAAATGATGCGAGTACTTAGACAGGGCGCATACCTTTGAGTAAATAATCGCTCAACTATTGTGCAATTGTTGATTGTTTGGCAGCCAATTCAACTATTTTGTTGCACAACTAAGAATCGAGCAGTGTGCTCACCTCCATATATGTACGTTATATCGTCTTAGTACTTACATACATAACAGATCAAATAAAGATTTTAAAAATTAAACGTTTTATCGGAGACTAACACTTTAATAACAACTGAAACTAAATTCGATTTACACACTTAAATAATTTACTTGTATACCAACCTGTGACACGTCTTGGCCTTCCTCCGGCGGTGCGTCCGGCGTTGCCCACTACGTGAGCGCCTAAACTGAAACCGACTAAGTGGACGTTGTTCCAGTTACCGCCCGCAGTGTTGATAAGCCAAATCAAGAAGTTGCCAAGGAACTGTCCAACGCCAGGTACGCCGTTTGCAGCAGTGATGTAGTTTCTATTCGCTAAATCGCGCCAGTCCACTACAATCACGTTGCAGTCTTGAACAGCCAAGAAAGCTGAAGTGATTATGGGGTTTATGTCTGAATTCCCGTTGCTGTTCCAACCGTGCACGATAACTTTTAGAGGTAGGTTGCGATTATAGTTGGAGTTAGTGACCGAGTTAGCATTGCCATTAACAAGAATTTGGTGATTGTTCGGATTGCGCCTGGAAAATTAAAATATGGTTGAAACCAAGAATTGGTTGTTGTTTTTTAAAATGTTAAAGAATAATATAGCATAAGCAGCTTCACAAATAAAACAAGGTACATATTTTTGATTACAAAATTTCTTTTCTAAAAATATCTAAGTCTATAGTTCGCCAAATGGAAAGTGATTCTTAAGTTATCTTTTAATTTTGTTAGCATTTCTACTTAAAAATATTTTGAAAAGATATCTCAATATACCTAAAGATATTACCTTGTGAAAAGCCAGTATTGGTTATTTGCGCCATTTCTGCCGTATAGTACATCTTCATCCACTGGTTCCTCCAGATCTACAAGCTGCGGTACACCATTACCATCAGGGATCCAGATGAAGCGACTTTCACCCTCTACATAGTGACTGTTGTCACCTGGGATCGAGTCGAATGGTGCGGTATTGCACGCTGCAATATAAAAATACATTACGATCTATCAGGAGAAGTACAAGTGAATCTCTGAGCGTATCAATTTGTTAAACAATAGCTCCTCGCATCAGTAAGACTAGTAATCATTAGGCATGATGATTACTTAAATCTGCTAAGTTTTTTTATAGAGGATTGTTTTAACACTTAACATTGTTAAGGATATAATGAAAGATAGTGGGTTCGAGGTCACAAAATCCGTAGGGAGTAAAAGAGGATAAGTAGATGATAGAACTTCTTTCGACGTCGATAATGAAGGTGTAGTTAATTGCGACTTACCCGCAATAAGAGCGAAAACAACCACTAAGAGCTTCATAGTTATTGTAATGGCGGGTAGCGACAAACCAGAATATTTATTACGTTTCACTATCGAAAAAATAAAATCTTATTTATCGCGAAGTTGAGTTTTATCTTAATGAATTCTCTGATAATTAATTTTAATAAGAGAAATATCTTCTAGAAAAGGCGTGCAGTGACGTAGCCTTCTACCACATTGTAAGTTTGATAATGGCAATAGGAAACAGTTGGCACGATAACATCGAGGAGAGATGTTTGTTCTTAGATTAAATACAGTTTTCGCATCCACAATAACTTTTCTCAAGAAAAGTTGATTCAGAATAAGTTTTCATATAAAAAAAGAAAACCAGCAAAGCCAAGGTAGCTTTCTAAGATAAATTTCGTTTAGCTTTTCTTTTAAGAATTGTAAAAACTGTTATAGTGTTATTACAATGTATTGCTTCATAGGAGAAACTTAATTTTTCTAAGTCTAACCAATGTAAATTAACTAATTTTAATCAAGGGTCGGCACAGCATATGCTGCTCTTCCATACATTTCTATCAGCCATCGTTTCTGAATCCACTCTTTTTTTAAGAATATACTCTTTCACACAATCTGTCTATACTTTCTTCGGTCTTTCTCTATATTTCTAGCCATCACGTTCAATCTTAACACTTTCTAGTTAATTTCTCCATCCTCTGGTCGCATAACATGCCCGTACCTTGTTAATCTTTTGGTAAATAAAAAATAAACAGAATTACAATTTGGTACGTTGCTTAACTTGTTCTATTTAGCTTTATAAATAAACTCTAATACGACATCTTAGAAAATTCACAAATTCTGGTCAAGTCAATGTTGTTGCTTTCATTTACGATGTAATAAAAACATATGCAAATAACAATCGGCCGATGTAAAGCAAACGTCCTACGGAGACTCATTGACGAGTATTATACGCGGTTGGTAAAAGTAAGGAATATCGTCAATCATACCGCTTTCAAGCGTCAACAGGAAATCAGGAAATCGTTCGTCAATACTCGTAGAAAATAGACAACGAAAAGTGTTAAAAACACGTTGCTTTTAGAGACAACATAAAACGTCATGAAGTTATCTATTAAAGATAGTAATGAGCATATCACAGCTCTGTCGTCGACAATATCATACTAAGGTATGTATGATGTAAGTCGGGGGAGGGACATTGAAGTCTCATAGATTTTTCGCACACAAAACTTAAATCCTGTTTTTCAATATTATCTGAGGTATACGCTGATATACGTAGCGTCGGTGGTTCGAATTCCGCAGTGTACCAATGTAATTTTCGATTTTTCGATTTTTCATATGTACATAATTTACCTGATGTTCTTACGGTAAAGGAAAACATAGTGATGCAAACAGCACATATCGGCGAAAAAATTCAAAGATCCGAATAGGCTCCGAGCCCCTCGGTGGGGACGTATAGTGAGCTGGTGATGGTGATGGGATACGCTGATATAAGCCAATAGTTTCGATGGAAAAGTTTTTCAGTTCGGGATAAAAAAAAGCAATCCTTCATACTTTTATGCTAATAGTATAAGTTCAAAAGTTTAGGATGGATGTTTGTTAGAGTTTGTAGCCTACACGACTAAACGGATTTCGACGAAACTCGGTATAGATGTAGATGATAGTCTGGAAGAACACTACTACTCGCTTTTGTTTATAATTCCACGCGAACGGAGTCGTGGGCGAAACCTAGTAAAACATGTATTTAAATACAATAATCTTTATATTGCGTATACGATTATATTCTAGCTATTTAGACCTTTGATTTTTATTACTTTAAGTCTATTGTATCTACAATTTTATCGTTTAATCTTTTAATATTAACCACCGAGCATGATTTTCATGCGATTTTGATAACTAATATCTCACTTCCACTGGTGTTAGTTTTTACATGTTGATAATATATTTATCATAATCGTATTAACTATTATTATTATTAAGCAACTATAAGGACTGCAGTACATCGACAGTTCAATAGACGTGGAGCAGCTTGCACTGGGCGCTTTTCATTCTGACTTAGTCGTATTCTTCAGTTTAAAACTTAGTTTTCAGTAGTACCGATTTACTGACATATTAGCTAAAAATTAGGCTTCTTCTAGAAGCGAGCCTCTTCGAGTTCTTTTTCTCGAAGGTCGTCAACACATCTGCTGGTCCACAGGTGTTGCAGATATCCATGGGCGTTGATAAGCACCACGCCATTCGTTTGCTTTTTATCTTATTAAAAAATGTACAAAGCTTCTACATAATGTTTACTTCCACGCATACGTGCATATATTTTGTCCGTTTGCTTGCTTGCATAGATCAGAGATTGGCTCTCTCTAATTTTTCAAGCCCCGTGATCCCAATCTGCAGTATTCAAAGATTTTTTCCCATCTGAAATATACCACCTACATGGTGATAAATTATAATTTTTGGCGTAGAATCGTAAATGCGCTGATTTAAATCTTATCTTGTAAACGTCGCGAATTTTTCCATTATATCAGTAATCGAATATTAATCCTAAACTGTTACGATATTACGTAGCTTCGGATTATCAGTGTGGCGATAGTTAATCACTATCAATGATTGTAAAAATAATTGAATTAAATTAAAATTCTTTAAATATAATGAACTGCTTATTTATTTGCTCAGCGGTTTGAGTACGGTTGAAATTGAATCCTGGTACTATAAAACGAATCTAGGAAGAGGACTTAGGCTAGGCAATGAAATGTTCGACCCTGAATCATTCGGGAAGTCTTAAAAGAAACTAGCGATTTTAACCAGCTTCGCGTAGATGGTAAAGAATATACCTCTAACATCTTTGACGTCATATCCATACCCCTCTCTTTTCTAAAGTAATCTATGTTACTCAGTTATAATGTAGAAGTTTACTAATGGTAAAAGAATTTTTCAAATCAGTTTAGTATTTTTTTTAAATATCAGATGGCAGACGAGCAAACGGCTACCTGAATCCACCGAAATGGAAACCGAGTGCTGCCCATAAACATCCGCAATTGCAAATGCGTTGCTAACCCTTAATTGACGGAGGATCAGACGCACATAAATAAGACATTTCTCCTTCCTTTACCTCTCCTCCACCGTCAAATCCAGCCTTCCTTCCCATCCTTTCCTCTCAAGAAAAGGGTGGAAAGGGAGAGGGACTAAAAAGTTTCGGAGACACTGAAAGGTTTGGTCCAATCTGATGTATTTTTGAATTGTAAAAAGTAGTAAGTTCGTACAATTCTTACCATCAAATGGTTGGGTACGATTTATATCTACAAGTTGAATTTGCCAACCAACAATATCAGTTGTCATACGAAAACTGTTATTTATATTGGACAGAAAAATAATACTTAGCTTTTATTTCTCATACGTACGTGTCACTGGCAGGCTTTCGTTTGATTTATGTTCTTTTTATGCATTTACTATTTACCTTTTTAATATGGTATGGATTTGATAGAAGGAGAAATGGCGGGGAGGGGGGGGCTGGTTGTTGCAATATGTCCTCACAAGATTTATCGAGTTTAAGACTAGACAAAAGAGTTGATCATTACATTATGGCACTGAAGATATTTTTTTCTGTAAGGAAAATATCAAATAATAAGTATAACTAGTTGGTTTGTTTTGTTTACATCTTGCTTATTGGACAACGACTCGTGGACACTCATTCATAAGACGGATTACTGGTTTAATATAAGCCTCTGCTTTGCCTTTGACTTTTCACTGTAATGCTTTTATATTCTTAACTCAATTCTTTTGTTTCTTTTACAGTATACTTAAATCGTACTAATGTAATAAATGTGAAGGTTTAGATGGATGGATGTTTGTTAGAGTATGTAGCCTAAACGGTCGAACGGAGCGCGATGAGATTTGGCATAGACGTAGAGGATAGTCAGGAAGAATACATAGGCTACTCACTTTTTTTAAATTCCAAGCGAAAGAAGTCGCGGGCGAAATCTAGTTGTGAACGATGTTGGCCACGTAATCACAAAATATTTGCTGTACATGTTGGGGCTGTTAATACATATTATGTAACTGTTATTTAGCTACACTAGTATAATAAAGCGTAAACACACACTACTTTGTGACGTAGGATTCCAGCAATCACAGCATATTTTTGTATTATCCTTTCTTTCATAAAAAAACCCTACAGTTCCGACACGCTTTAGGTTATAAATCAGGCTATGAAACTTAGAAGGTAGATTTATTTGATTTAAACCGTCATGTGGGATAGGGACCGTAAAGCTGCCAACATTAGGGAAACAATTACGGTTATTATGGTAACGGTAACAATTACCGTTACCATAATAACCTTGGTCAAAGGCCTTCGTTGTCATATGTGCATTTAAATTTTGACATTTGCAATTGAGTACTTTACATGTAAACAACAAAATAAAGTTTTTATAATTTCATGCGGATGAAGCCGCGCGGAACAGCTAGTTCCGAATATCTACGCACTAGTAGTTTTAATTTAACTTCCTTTATAAAAATAAATGTTTCGTCTTCTCTTCTGTTCATTGTATACTAAAGATTTGTTTAACTAACTTACCTCTTCTCTCGACTTTTCAACTTATGCCGAGCTACTATTGTAACTTTAAATTAACTTCACAAGTCAAGCACTAAAGTTATGCACGTTTACAAAGTTCAAAACAAAAGAACTTTGTAAGTGTATACTTATAATTACTGCGATGTGGCAAAGATTTCTGAATACCCTCTTATGAAGATGTTTTTTTTTGTTTTTTATTAGGTAATCATTCTCAAGGGTATGTATGCCAGTTAAACAACAATTGCTATTATATTTAGACTATTAAAACCTGATCCATTTTGAAGGAGTTGGTAGTGTTTAATTATAACGTAATCTTGGCAGAAAATTCAATTAAAAGCAGGTGCACACCTTTGACTAAGCTATTGTGCGATTGTCAATTGTTTTGCAACCCCTTCAACTGTTTAGTTGCATAACTAAAAATCGAAAAATGTGCGCACCTCCAGCTAGGAATCAATGCGCGACTTATCAGTTGTGCGAT